TCCCGGTGTCAGTATTTACGGTCGATAATAGATAAATTAGAGACATGGCTGAGGAATGGAGCGCTAGGTCGCCTGGGTATACCATGCTTTCTGTCACCGAAGGATGAACTTCTGCGGGAAGAGGCATCGAAATGGCCGGACCTTTTCTCTCGCAACGATGATTGAAGGGCAAATCTGAATCGTTGCGAGATATGGGTGTGGGAGGTAGGGGAGGGAATTTACTCGAGGTCGGAGAAGAATCGCCTGAAGCTTTCGGGGAGGGCGGAGTGCCAGCCTTCGATGTCACGCCTGTTGTTGGGCGGTCATAACCTCTAGAAAAGGCAACATCATTCCGGGAGTTTAGAAAGACATTAAAAATTGGTGGGGCTGGGGAGGTGGAGGGATCCTGGCCGAACGCTGTGGAATTGACGCTGACATATTTGGAGAGCTGAGTAGGTGGCGCCCTGGGCGAAAATATCGATTGGTTTTCGCCAGGGAAGGAGTCGAATGGATAGGTTTCAATTGCATAGGCCGGGGCCCCAGGATGGACCCCATATCTATGATGGAGAGGTGCAGCCAGTTGAAGGAGTGACTGTAGTTTACGGCGATGATGGCGAGGTAATGGCGTAGGTCGTGCTGTGCTTTCAATCTCATTTTGGTCGAGGTCTACGAGAACGAAGTCATCGGAAGGAAGCTCCGCCTTGTCATACCTCCGCTCAATCCCCACAATATACGGACAAGGCGCCTCAAGTGCTTGGATAAGCCTAGCAGGAAGGATAGGGATAAATACGCCTGTCCATTGGAATGGAAATAGAAGATCAACCAGAGCTTTGCTAGCCAGATACAACATGGCTGCATGAGATGATAGAAGAATGATACGGGATTCAGCAAGGACGTACTATAATTTAGTTAAGCAAAGAATTTAGAATAGTTGGGTTTTGCAAGAAGGTTCGGCTAGAAACTTACTTCAAACAGTATAATTATATTCGAGATTGAAAGTGCACGAAAGAGTGCATACAAATCAGTCTGTGCCTTTGTTAGCCAAATCCTCGAACCGAGTGGGGGATATCATGCCACATACATTTCGAGAGCCAGGCAATTCATTGATTGCTTCTTTTCGGGCAAAAAGGCGCAGCTCCCGCACTGATATCTCAACTTGAGTTTTGGAAAATAACGGGCTAAAAGCTTCGGTGCAGAGGTTCACAACATAGCGCTCTAAGGGCTGCCATCTGCCTACCCTAGGGGAGCTAGCAGGGACCCGTTGGACAGCACCGTCAGTCATGGGAACGACAACGGCCCGCAGCCATTCTTTCCAGAAACTGGTCATTGATCCATCCTTTCCTAAAATCCCGTATGCCCTTGGAATCCAAAATCCTGTATCCCCATCCGTAAGACCGTCGATTTTGGTCGCAGCACCCAGTCGAACTGGGCGGAGGAGGTCAGCCATAAGTCCAATCTTTTCCTCCACCGAACTTATATCATCTTCAAGCTGATCTCTAGAGGCGGAACCTGAAGGGACCGAAGGTAGTTGAGAAAGTAGCCTGGATAGCTTCGCTCGTTCCAAGGCGAGTCTTTCGCCGAGACTGGCAGCTAACTCCCGCTCCTCGTCCGTCATGTTATCTCGCCTCCATTCCTCACACCGTTTTTCCAGTTCCTCAGCAGTTTTGTGGTGGAGGGGAATCCAAATCGTCACACAGACGCCATATAGCTTCGATCCATCTCCAGATGTCATTGCGAATCCATGCCAAGTGGAGCGAGGTCTCTGATCAGAGGACACGATATTGATATCGTTAGGGAATGCGAACATTGGAACGTAATCAGGGAAAGTCCCTCTCTGTTTAGTCTCATCTACAACTCCTTTCGGCGGGTATCTGTCGAGAAGGACGGGTTCGAATTTCCGCTTCAGTGGGTGCATGTTAGGAGATACATCGAGCGGTTGAGGTACTGGGATTACTGAGTTGTAATTACTCAACCGCCTAGATGTCCGAATAGAAGCTGTAGTAATTTCAATTAGTTAGCAGAAGTCAGTTGAAGTGAGAAATATAAAGAGAGACAGCGCGCATGGCAGTATATAAGTGCAGCACTCACCTTGACGTGCAAGAGATGGTTGTCTTTTCATGCTGTTCATGTCTCTAAAGGACATATGTCTCCGAACACTACCAATGCTCGACTTTAGTGGATTGACCTCCTCTGCCACAATCTTCTGTGTCTTAGATCGTGGTTTTGGCCGGTTATTGGACACCACGGCACCAGCACTGAGTGACAGGTCAGACAAAAAGGAGTCCCTCTCAGCAGCAAACTTTATCAATGCTTTATCAAAGTCACCGTCGCTCAGAAATGACAGTCCATTCGGCGACTGGGAGCCCTTGATAGTCATGCTGCTCCGATTGCTTGGTGTCTCCGCTGATCCCATCGATCGATAGGACAACCTCGTCTCGTCGGATGGTTTTGGTAGCAATTGGTAAGAATTCCGCTTCGAGGACGGTTGAGAGGGCCCAGAGCGCGGGTGGGCAGCCTCCTCTGCATCCGCATCTTCCTGAATTGTATCCGTCACCGGCATTGACTGAGTATGGTTGGCATGGTACTCCTCCCCTAGTTTTGAGAAAATGTCCAAGATCTCCGGCCCATCGACACCGGCAATCCAGAAGAAGTCAGCAAGGGGGCTCGGTGGCGACTCAGCAGAAGGTGTTGGAGCCATGATTCGTGTGGTTGGGAGTCGTTTAGAATGATCCTCCTCGCCCGTTATCGTTGATGTGATTTTTCTCAAGATAACTATACCGTTGTTAGAGCACCGTTAGACACCAGATCGACCCCCGCACCCCGATATCATAACCTTTCAAGTTTCCAACAGTATAACTGATCTGGCGTTATTTGAGGTCAATTACTAAAGACGAAAAGGAATGGAAATCTCATGGCGAGATGAACAGACGAGGAGGGGAGATCCAGGAGGGTGAGCAACGGAGGGTTTGGTCTCTCCTTGGTGCTCCGGGTGAGCGAGTTGTTGCTGTGTTTGGTTTTCTGCCGCAGGTCGGATCAGCCCCCATTAAAAAATCAATTGCCCGCCATCGGTTGGAGGACTGGGTGTCCCGCGAACTAACTTCTGCGCCAGGCGCACTAGCATCTCTCTGGTGCTGGGGTTATGGCTGTCGTCTGTCGTTGTTAAAAAAAGAAAAGAAAACTCAAGAGGGAAAGCAAAAAGTAGGGGCTTTTGCTTCCATTTTTGTCATGGTTTGGTTTGTTAAAACATCCTTTCCCGCCCCTTGACTACTAGGGAATATTGCTAATCCTGCGCTTACACTCCTTGCACGTATTATAGCTGGTATAAAATGGGACACCGTTGGCTACGTATGCAAAATGAGTTGCTCCAGAACCTCTCCCCCAATCCACAGTTGACGTGCTACTCTTCATAACGAATAAGTTTCAAGTTGATATAAAAGGGAGGACCCGGAACACCAATCTTCTGGGGTGGCTTCCAGCTTGGCATTTTTCCTTGCTTGGGTCGGACCTGGGAC